AGCTAATATATAAAATAGGAATAATCTCTGTCTGTTCTGTAGAAATACATGACTATATGTCAAATGAAAAACAAGAGTCAGCCTTTCCCACTAGACACATTCATGCACCCTGGAGTATCAGTAGATTCGGGATTATTAGGGGTCAGGTAGCAACTTCAATACACAGAAGTAGAAGACACTGCCTTCCAATTTCTCAAAAACAGATAGAAAGATAGAGAACTATAGAAAAATAATCCACTTTAGCTCCCCAAATGATGCCTGAGTTTTAAATGTCTGCTCTATCTTTAACTGCCTCTCTGCCAGTTGCAGGGTATTGGAACTAAATGAGAAAAAACTGATGGAGACTGTGCAGATGAAATGTTTTCCATAGGGGAATAGTTTAAATGATGCAGGTTCCAGCATGGATTTCCTCTTTGTCTCCATCTTTGAAAATACTCCAAACCTGACTGGACAAGCTCCTAAACAACCTGCTCCACTTGGCTCTGCTTTGTCCATGGGGTTGGACTGGTTAATGCCCAGAGGTCCTTATCAAACTCACCTATGCAGAGATTTGGTGAATTTCAGTGGTGAGAATGATGAAACTAAAGGGTAAAATGGAAAGTCTTTGCTTGCTTTCATTTTTTTTTTTGTTTTTACAGGGTCTGTTATTCTAGTCAGAAATGGTCCTGTAAAGAGGAGGGAACAATGAGGTGGGAGGGAAACAGTGGGGACAGAGAAAAAGTGTCCCAGAGATAGGAAGAGGGACACAAGGTGGAACTAAATCTCAGTTTGGGGTAAGCAACCAGGTTACATGTGGCCAATTTTGTCAGGCAAGGATTGTTACAGAAAATTTGGGAGTCACTGGTCCATGACACACAGGCTTTGTTGGCTGAATTGTACCAAAGGAAAAGTATACATTGGCAAAAGAAGCCTTTTTTCTTCAACTACCTTTTTGAGTGGCATAAGCCATGCCAGCAAGGGGGTTCTTGCATGTATACAGAGGGTGTTGCTCACATATCTATATCAATTAAGGGTGTGATTTTTTTCATGCTTGTGACTGAAGCAGCTTTGTCAACAACACTTTATAATTTAGACCTGGCTTGAGAGCTGTCCTGGCTCTCAAGCAATTGCAGAATGTTGGGAATTTTAGAGTGAACTCCCATATTGTTGGCAAAGAAATAAAAGGACACAAATGCAGCAGAGTAATTTTGAATAGATTTTTTTTTATTGTTATTCACAGCACACAAAGAATTTCTTTTTTGTTTGTAAAGGTGGTGACTGAAGAAGTAAAAATAGCAGCTGTGCAGCTTCATGGCAGGACATCCACTGAAATACAGGCTTTCTTTTTAATCAAAAGCCAAATGGTTTCTGTCATGACCATATCCTAGCTAGAAAGGGCTTGTGATATAGCTGGACTGTCAGACACTTCCATTGGAAGCTAAGTTTACACTGGTATAAAAAGCTGATAAACTGATACAACTTTGGGAACAAGATAAGTATAGAGCAGAAACGCTCTTTTGTAGATAAAATGGCATATATGTCAGGGGAGTTGCAGCCATGGCAGTGCTGGTTAGGAGAGGAAAGTGTGGTTTGCTTGCTCTTTGTCTTCTTCACAATCTTAATCAACTGCCAGGCTGGTGCATGTCTCTGTGTAATTTATTCCACACTGCAAAAAAAACCCTACTGTATTTGTGAAAGTCTTGTTGTTTATTCTTACCAGAGATCCCTGTATTTTGGTCAGAACAATAGCTCTGGCATGGTCAAAGTGATAACTCCAAGTACAGTGACATAACAGTGTTTAAAAGCTTGATTTCCCCAGAGGACAATCCTAAAATCCTGCTGATACAGAAAAGAAACAACCTTCCTTCCTCCCTCCTTCTCACGCTGGCTCTGGAACTTGTTTGATGCCCCAGCAAGCTGCTTCAGCTTACTAAACAGACAGAAAATGAATGCAGCAAATACCAATGCAGCATTTTCTGCCAGTTTAGTGAAATAAATTGGTTAGCTTAGAGATCAGGTGAACACTCAGTGTCTCTGCAGAGTAAGAAGCAGCAGTGTATAGCTGAGAGCAGAGGAAATCATTGGAAAAATTCTATTTTTTTTTTCCCTTAGCATTAGACTGATTTAACTGTCTTGCCAAACTTCATTGTTCTGGCGAGGTCACAAAATTTTTAGCCAGTTTGAGAATGTCCATCCACACTGAAGTATGCATTTGTTTAGCTGAATCTGAATATCAGAGCTCTAAGGCTTGTCTGCACTTGAAAGTATTTCACAGTGTGGCTTGACTGGCACTCTCCCATTCCTCTGAAGAGATGCAGTTTATGAGAGTCACTTGCTGAGACAGCTCAAACCCAATTCCAGGAAAAGGCCTTCCTTTTGATATCAGCATTACCAAGTCTGCCTTAGGCTCCTTGTTGCCACAGCCATTTTGATCAGAAAAGGCTTTTTTTTTTTTTTCTCAGGCTTGTAATCAACGGAATGCTTATCATACTGGTAAAACAGTGAAATGGAGACCAAGTTAAAAGCAGTGTACTTGGAGTTCTGCTGGATAAGAAAATAAGCATTTCCTTGATCACACAAGGAGTTGTCTTTTAGATGGGGTGCTTAGCACTTAGCAGCGGACTGGTTACTTGCAGAAATTTCCTTTTTGAAAAGCTTTTAGCTTTTTCTTTTTTTTTTTTTTTTTTTTGGTAAAGTGATAGACTGTCAACCTTCAGATCAGTGAATACTTTGGGATTTTTTTTTAATTGCATGCATTACTTCACTGCTACCTTGCATGTTATGTATGCAAAATCAAACCTTCTTAAATTTTAATTTATGAAAAAAGTATGTTTGGCTAGAATTCCAAATTAGGGTAAAAAAACCTGAACAAGAAACACTTTGGAGAATAAATGCTGGAAGGTTTTTTCTTTTGTGAGTCACAAGAAGGTCTTTAGTAGGAAATATTCAGGGTGATGCCCCATGGCAGGGTAACATTTGTGAGTGCTGAAGGTTGCACAGATATTAATACCAAGCTGTATGAGGAGAGGCTGAGGTCACTTGGTCTGGAGAGACTGGACAAAAAGGACAAAAAAGGGACTGAGGGGAGGCCTCAGCAGCCTACAGCTTTGTCATGAGGTGCAGGCACTGACCTCTGTGGTGCCCAGAGACAGCAGCCATGGGAATGGCCTGAGGTTGTGTCAGGGGAGGTTCAGGTTGGATATCAGGGAAAGGTTCTTCATCCAGAGGGTGATTGGTCGCTGAAACAGCTCCCCAGGGCAGCGGTCACAGCACCAGCCTGACAGAGCTCAAGAATTGTTTGGACAGTATTCTTGGGCACACTCTTGGGGATGATGCTGTGCAGGGCCAGGAGCTGGAATCAATGATACTTGTGGGTATTTTTAAACTCAGGGTGTTCTGTGATTCTGTGATTCCATGATTCACTGCACATCAGCAAATTTCTCCCTAACAATACGCAGTCCATTGCTCATTATTAGTTGCTATGTAGTATTCATGAATCTAAAATCATCCAGCATAGGTGAGTTTGATCAATTTCTCTGTAACAGCACTGACTAAATATAGTGGATACTGTGCCTGTCATGGAGCAGAGGTTGGGATATTTCTTACCTTTACCTGAGGGGCTCTTTTAACAGTACTTTGTGTGTCATAAATACCATGTGCATAGAGAACAGGAGTGACTAGTGAAAAGCTGAAGCAAACAACCCACAAGCTGAAATGGCTGGATGAACTATTCAACAAATACCTATGAAAATAAAAATAAAATCCATTTGCAAATTATTTGTTAATCAAAATAACCTGAATCCTTAACTGGTGTAATTTGTAGCTAACAGTTTGTGAAGCTTTAATGGGCAAAAAATGCTTGAAAGGAATGAAATA